AGCTTCCGCTCGTCGTTCCAAGAGACCATCATTCCCTCGTTCCAGGTGCGGCGTCACCGCCCGCTTATCATATTTTCATGGAAGCGGAGAACGTGCGGCTGACCTTTGTGAGCGCCGCCACGACCACGGTCGTCCAGGGATCTTGTCAATCCATGTTCCAGCAGATCTACGGCACTATGCTGCCTGGCCTCCAGCAAACCATTGAGGAGGCGGTCGAGCCCGGCCTGAACAAGCTGGCGACCGGCGATCTCAGGGAGACGCTGCAGTCGCTCACGAATGCGGTCAACGATCTGCGCGAGCTCTCCGCTCGCAACGCCGAGCTGTTCCAGACGCTCTCCCAGAGCTCGCCGAGCGCGCGGCTCGGCCTGCAGCCGCCCGGTTCGGGCCTCCCCGAGCAGCACGTCACCGAGGCTCAGCTCCTGCAGCTGCTCGAACGCGACGCCTACGAGCAGGCCTTCGCCTGTGCCCTCTCCGAGCGTGGCGCCGAAGCCGTCCGCCACCTCCTCCAGTGGATCGAGCCTCAGGTTCCTCCACTTCACGCACACGCACACGCACGCGCACAGCTGTGTTCTTCGTGGCTCACCGCTGTCTCTTCTTCGGCCTGGCTCTAGGGTTTCTTCGAATCGGGCCACGGGCTGTCGCAGATCGTCACGGCGTCGCTCATCCACCGCGTTGCGCTCGACCTGCAGCACGACACGCCGCTCAAGCTCGACTGGCTCTCGCACCTGCTGCTCCACTTCCACCCGATGGACACCACGATCGCGGCCCACTCGCAGCACATCCTGCACCACACGATCCACCACCTCAACGCCCTGCTGGCCGCCCAGCCCCACCACCCGCTGGCCATCAACGCCAAGCTGCTCCTCCACACCGCCAACTCTCTCCTCTCCGCCCCGCCGCCGCTCCAGCCCGCCACCCCTTCCTTCTCCTCCCTGCCCTATGGCGCTCCCTACATCTGATCTCATCTCCCCTCTCCCGCCCTCTTCCTCCTCTTCTTCGTGATCTGTCTTGCCTTCTCCAGCAAAAAAAAAAAAAAAAAAAAACATTTTCTTTGGTGCCTTTTCTTTTCTTGTTCTCTAACGGAGTCTTCGAGAGCCTCTTTTTGGCGCGACTCGATCGTACGATCATCGGCTCCGTGGAGGCTCGCATCTTGAGGTCATCAAACAATTCATCACACAACTCATACAAAATGGCTACCAAGCGCTCCAGAGATACTCGTGAGCGAGAGGAAAATGGAGATGGAGAGCAAAACGAAGGCATTATCAGTAGCTTCAAGCGCCTCATCAACAACTTCCTCTTTCCATCCTATGGCGTAGCCACCTCGGGCTCTGCTCCTCCTGCCCTGGCAGCCACTCCTGCCACTTCTACATCTCAATCTCCCTCCCCGCCCCTCCCGGAGAGATCCACAAAGCGCCGCCGAATTGCCGCCTCTCCACCTGATGAAGAGGGCAGCGAGGAGGAACAAGAAATGGATGAGGAGGGCGAGGAGCCGTTGAGCCAGATGAGCCTGGCTGAGCTCAAGCGACGCGGATACAGCCTGGATGAGATCTCCAGAATCTTCACCGGTGAGCCCATTCCATCCTCGCGCTACCCTGCTGGCTCGTTCGCCACCCCTGCATCGCGACCCTATCGCCCCGCGACAGGCAATGGAGCCACGAATGGCGCGAATGGTGCCAGCCGGCCCATGCGTCGGGGAACGCCCTTCCCCCCTCCTGCCCTCCCCCGCCGCGCCGCCCCCGTGGGCACCTACACACCTTCACTTGCTCCCTACCCCGCGCCCTCTCCCGCCAGTACCCCCCCCCAAAACCCACACGTCGCATTGCTTGATTCCAATTTGATGAGCAACCGACTCTAAAATGTGGCCTTCTTGTACTCTCCACGCAGAGAAACAATGGAGCCCCGTCGGAGCCATCAAGTCCCACGCTCGCACCCCGTCCGTATCGAAGATCGGGGCGACCCCTCGCGCAACCCCCAGCACCCTTGCCGGGCGTCGCCACGTCTCGGTAGGGTCTGCCTTCTCTTTTTTCATCTCTTTCTCTTTCTCTCTCTTTCTCGTTGCCGCGTTCTTACGTTCTCTCTCTCTCTCTGCCGCCGGCAGGTGCGCAAGACTCCCGCGGGGAGCCGTGAGATGCCAGGTGCTGCCGACACCACCTCCGCAACGGCACACCGGATTCTGGCCACCCTGGGCAAGATCCCTTCTCCTCTGCCGGTGCGTTGCGACTCGACTTTGCTCGCTTCGTCTCTCCTCCTCCACCGCCGTGGCCTCGACGCTCACATGTTGTTGCCGTTGTTGTTGTTGGTTGTACGACACAGAGCGACAGGTTGACGGACGCCCGCTCCATGCAGAAGACGCTGGGCAAGCGCCACTTGGAGACGCCGTCGTCGTCTCGGGATGCCGAGAATGGACACGGAAGGAGGCCCTCTGTTAAGGTGCGCGCGCGCGATCACCTCTGTGCTGTGTGTTGTCAAAGAAAGACCTTAACGACTCTCCGTTCTACTTTCTCTCTTGTGTGCAGCCCCCACCCATCGCCAAGCGCCAGAGGCTGGACGAGGACAGTTTCGCGCGTGTTCCGCACAAAGCAAAGACGGCGCTTCACGACGATTACTATGAGCGCGAACACGAGGAGGAGGAGGAGGAGGAGACGTACGGGGAGGAGGGGAGGACGACGACCCAAGACGAGCAGCTGCGCGGGCGAGAGCGCGAGGAATCCTCGACCTCGTTCGGGCTTCCCAAGCCCTCGCGCACCGACAAGAGGCCCTCATCAGCTCTGCCGAGCGATTCCGAGCACTCTGCCCCCTCCTTCATTTCGCCCATTGGTACGTTTTTAAATCGTAGCGGTCGCTCTGTGCGCCAATCACGTGATTGTGATCGACCAACTTATTTATCTAACACTACACTTGTGCGCAGTTGCTTCGGAGTCGATCTTCAGCTACAAGGCGACGACCGTCGTGAACGGCAAGGCGAAGGAGGACGAAGAGGAGGAGGAGGAGGAGCAAACGCTCACCAAGCGGAAGAGGAAGGAGCAGGAGTCCCCCAGGCCCGTGGGCCTGGCGCTGAAGGGCAAGGACGAGGGCGAAGCCGCCGCCGCCGCCGCCACCGAGGAGAAGAAGGAGCCGGCGCCGTTCGCGTCCCTCCCGTCGTTTGGTATGCCGTCGACGTCGGCCTCGTCGGCGCCCTCGACCTCCTTCTTTGCCATGGGCGCCTCCTCCGCTCCCGCTGCCGAGTCCGCCAGCGCTGGCAGCGTCGACTTCGGAGGCTTCGCCATGCCAGCGAAGGACAGCAAGAAGGACGAGGCCGCCGCACCGAAGACCGACTTTAGCGGGTTCAGCTTCGGCAAGACGGAGGGCACCTCTGTTCTGTCCGACACCTTCTCCTCCTTCATTGCGCCGCATCCCTCAACCGCCGCCGCCGTCGAATCTGCGCCCGCCGCCGTCTCCTTCGGAGGCTTCTCCGTGCCTGTTGCGGCCAAGAAGGACGTACGTACTCCGCTGTTGTTGTTGCGCTCCGCTTTACTTGGCCGGCCCGCATTGATTTGGTTGATTTACACGGCTGTTGTAAACAAACGTTGTTCACGTTCCACCAGGGCTGGGAGTGCGCCTGCTGCACCGAGTCGAACCCCGAGTCGGCGACCAGCTGCGGTGTCTGCATGGTGCCCCGGCCTGCGCCCAAGGCTGCCGCCCCCGTTGCGGAAGCGGCCAAAAAGGAGGAAGAAAAGGTACTCTCGACACCCCCAGAACAATCCCAGCTGCGAAGTGTTGTGTTCACGTCTGACTCTCGTATTCTTTTTGTACCCAAAACGCCCAGCCGGCGCCGGCCACTTCGTTCGGTTCCTTCTTGCCGGTGAGCGCTGACGCGGCCACCAAGCCGGAGTCGCCCAAGCCGGAGGCCAGCCCGGTCCTCAAGGAGACGGTCGTCGCTGTCAAGGACAAGGAAACCACTGCGGCGCCGACGCTCGCCTCGCCCTTCACGTTCGGATTCTCGGCGGATACCAGCAAGCCGAAGGAGAAGGAAACGAAGGAGCCGGCGCCCGTCGCTGAGGAGAAGCCCGCGCTGGCGTTCTCGGCAGAGAAGCCCAAGGAGGAGGCCAAGCCCGCCACCGACCTGTTCGGCGGCTTCAAGAGCGACTTCAAGAGTGACTTCGGCAGCGGCAGCACGCCCTCTTTTGGCACTTCCACCTTCTCGCTCACCTCTTCAACGCCCTCCACGTCGCTGTCGCTGTCCGCCTCGACCGAGTCATCGGCCACTTCGGCCGCCGCCACATCGCTCTTCGCCCCCTCGTCGTCGACTGGAATGCAGAAGCCTTTCATGTTTGGCTCGACCGACCAGGACAAGGTACCACTCTCGAGGGTCCTCGCCACCCACCACTTCTTCGCAGGGGGGCGGCCACCTTCCTTTGGTTAACACGTTTCCTTGTGTCGCAGGCCAAGGAGGAGCCTCCCAAGCAGAAGGAGACTGCTGCGCCCGCGAGCGCCCCGTTCAACTTTGGCTTCGGCGGCAGCGCTTTCGGAGCCCCCGCCAAGAAAGAGGAGGAAGACACCATGGCCGACTCGGCCGAGCCCAGCGGTACGTATCGACGGAACCTTCTTGCTCCCACCGTGTGTGGTGTGTGTGATGCCTAACGCTCCCTTTCTCAGCCTCCACCGCCGCGAGCGCTCCGTTTGGTGGTAGCACGTTTGCGGCGCCAAGCAGCACGCCCGCCGCGTCGTCGATCTTTTCGTTTGGGGCGCCGGCCGAGACGCCCTCGCTGCCTGCCACGTCTGCTCCTTCGTCGGGCATGTTCATGTTCGGCGGATCGGCGCCCGCCTCTGCGCCCGCCCCGTCGCTCACAGCCTCGGGCTCGTTCCCCTTTGGTTCGACCGCATCGACGCCGGCCTTCCCCGCCGCCACGTCCTCGGCGTTCACCGCTCCCTCCACCTCCACTTCATTCGGCGGCTTTGGTGCGCCCAGTAGTGGTACGCCTCTTCCATCTCCTTCACCGCGCCACTGGCAAGCAGTCGCTCACCCATGACCTCTTTACTCTTCTTCTTCTTCTTCTCAGGTGGCGAGAGCGCGTTCAGCCCTGCTGCCTCGGTGTTTGGCGCTCCTCAGGCCGCCGCGCCGACATCGACCTTCGGCGCCTCTGCGCCCTTCAGGTGCGTTCCCTCTTCCCCCCCCCTTTGCTTTCCGACCTTTTCTCACCCGTGTTTGTTCGTGTTCGTGTTCTTGTTGGCGGTGCAGCAGCCCGTTCGGAGCGAGCACCGGAGCCACGAGCACGTTCGGCAGCGCCGGAGCGTTTGGCGACACTGGCAGCAGCCTGGCCTCGAGCGGCACCTTCGCGACCACACCTTTCGGCGCGCAGCCGGCGGCACCCACGAGCTTCGGGGGCGGCGCATTCGGGGCTCAGCCCTCTGCTGCCGCTGCCTCCCCGTTCCCCACCTTCGGCGGCGCTCCCTCGGCGTCCTTTGGCGCCGCGCCCGCCCCGGCCGCTGGCGGCGCCTTCTCTCTTGGCGCCGCGCCCGCCGCTGCCCCCGGCGGCCGTCGCGTCTTGCGCGGAGCTCGCCGAGGCAGGGGCGGCGCACACTAAACCTTTCCGCCCCCCACCCCCCCAAACCACTCAGGTAAAGCCCACCCTTCCACACTCCCTATTTATATTTATATTTTTTTTTATGTTGCTGACGTGGAGCCTCTTTTGGTCACCAGTTACAGAACAGCACCGGTGCCGTTGCCCGGCCAGCGGCGGCGCAATGGAACGGGTCCGTAAGGCCCCAAATTCTACCCAACACCCAAATTTTGACATCATCATCGGACCGAGGAGCAAGCGTCCTAGCGTCGATCGACCGCATCGTGCTCGGGCGTCACCCCTTCTCGCCCCGACTCGACCACCCCCCCAATAATCTATCCCCCACCTTCCGTCCGTTCCATTGTGTCGCCGTCCACTACTGCTGCAGCATTAAAATTATGAATTAAAATGACCCAATAATAGGGAGTGGGTGGTGGTCATCGTTCGCCGGAGGTGACGGTCTTGAGGAGTGGCCGGTTCTCGGCCTCGCCCTGCGCGGCCTTGGACTTGAGGTCGGCCAGGGCCGCGGACGTGTCGCCCACGCGGAACCGCTCGAGCGGGCTCAGCCAAAACAGGAAGAGGAAGCAGCAGAAGTAGAGCACGCCCAGGATCCAGAAGCCGAAGAAGGGGAACTTGATCGCCACGCCCGCCGAGAACACCATTCCCACCACGAACGGACCCAGCGCCCTGTCACCCCCCCCCACAAACTGCTGGTGAGTCGCTGGACATGGCATATAGGTGGTGGTGTGGTAGAGAATGGAACTCGACGCACCGAAGGAGGGAGGAGACGCTCTGGTTCATGCCCATGGTAAGCCCCTGGATGCTGTCCTCGCAGGCGTTGCTCACCATGGCGCCCAAGGCTGGGAAAGTGAGTGGCGATAGGGGTCAGCTTCAAGTACACTCTTCATTCGTGGTGGAGGGGAGGTGGCGTGGGCGTACTGGAGAGGAAGCACATGAAGCCCGTGGCGAGCAAGCAGCAAACGATCACCGCCAGCGCGATCCACACCAGCACCGTTGACACCGTACTCACGCCTGCACCGTCGTTCACGTAAGAAAATGGCAAAGGCAAAGAGAAACGCAAAAGCAAACAGGTAAGGGTAAGTACCCAGGCCCCAGTAGATGAAGGTGACACAGGGGAGAAGCAAGACTCCCAGGCACAGCAGAAGTGAGCTGAGCAGGTACAGGTTGACAACGCCGAGCCACCTCAGCATCCGCTCGAAGGCAAAGATCTGCGACGCGTGCCTCGCGTGTAAGTGCGCAATGCAATACCAAGCGCGCTAGTGGTAGCTCTCACCTGAAAGAAGAAGCCGGTGGTGGAGAAGAGAGCGAAGGCCAGCCCGTTGAGCAGCGGGTCGAAGCCCAGACCTCTATGCTCGACCTGGAGCGAGTAGAAGAGGACCATGGCGACGAGCAGGCCGCCGTTGCAAAAGGAGCCGATGCTGTAGGTGAAGATGAGCTTGGTCATGAGCCAGTCCTTGAAGGACTTGAGGCCCTCGCGCAGGGACTGCTTGCTCTTGCCCTGCTGGTGCTCCTGCACTCTCTTGCTGGTCTCGGGCAGGAAGAAAATCACCGTCAACAGCGAGACGAAGTTGAACGCGCCTAACACCGAGAGTTGGTGAGTCTCACATTCATGAAGAACTCACGAACGCTGACGAAAGTGAACGCGTAAACGGTTGTGAAGGCCAAGGTTTACCTCCGACAAGACAGGGGAAGAGGAATGGGTTGTCGGCCAGCATGGGCACACCCGAGAAGTCGATGATGGTGAACGCTCCGCCAATGCCACTGCAAGGGAGGTGCATGGGGTGAGAATCGAACGAAGAGAGCTGTGATTTTAAAGAACGGGGCAAGCACCTGGACAGACTTCGGGAGAGGTTGAAGCAGGCCGCGGTGTAGGCGAAGGCGAGGATACGGGCCTGACCCTCCGTAACATCCGCACACACAGCTCTTGTGACGGCGATGTTGGCGTTGAAGAATCCTGTTCAGTGTGCGTTGAGTGATGGGACATTGACAACGCATTGGGTTTAGAGAGAGACAGCGCACCGGCGAGGAGCCGAGAGGCGAAGGCGAGGGCGAAGTTGGGCGAGAAGCCGAAGAGGATGGTGCCGACTGCGCCCGAGAGCAGGCCGCCCAGCACGATCAGCTTGCGCCCGTACTTGTCGGCCAGGTGGCCCAGCATGAAGGACGACACGAACGACGCCAGGTTGTAGGCGCCGATGAGCGCACCCGCCGCCATGCCCACGTTCTCTTCGCGTATGCCGAACCGCTTACTGCACATGTCTCCACCAACCAACCAAGTTGCGGGGGTCAGCAAGTTCCGCCACTAGGAGGCGAGTAAATTATGCAGACGACCAATCGGAGCCTGCGAACTGTTGAAGACGGGGTTTTCCGCGCAGGGGCAATTGTAGAGTGGGCAGATGTACCCGGTACAAAGGGTGTGATGACGGTCGAGGCGATGGCATCGCTCATGAGCACTCCGTAGACCAGGAGAAGGATACCCCACGGCAGCTTGATCTCTTGACTGCCGCCTTTGACGGCGTCTTCCACTTCTTCTGGTGGTGGCCAAGTCTCTAACGGAGGTGTTTGCCGGGGAAGTTCCGGAGGGAGCAGCGGAGAAGGCATGCCCTGGGCCGGTGTGTGCGTGGCGAGCTCATCCGCTGAAAGCAAAGAGGTCCGCATCTCTCAAGTTTGGTGTGTGGTGTGGTGTTTGTGTTTCTCGCTCTTGCTGGATTGGCAGTGACGCGTGCGTTTGGGCCTTCTGTTCTTGTAAGTTAGTCGACACGGCCACAGACCGGGCTTCTGCCGTTCCGCCTGTGGTGGCCCAACACGTCACGTCGACCCTCCACTCACAGTGAGTAGTCCTCGGCTCTTTTTTTTCCGCCGCAAGGCGCGGGTACGCCACGGACCACCGCACACGCACACACCGCCCACTCCCCATTGGTCACAAGTGGAAGAGGATGAGAGAAAATACATGCATTGGTGCGACGGCCATGCTTGAGAAGCGCGTCAAGCTCGATATTGTTGGCGGTGGCGTCGGGTTGAGTTTAGTTACTCGTCGGCCGCGCCCTCTTCCCAGCCGCTGCTGGCAAAGATGGAGTCGAGTGCGTTCATCTGCTGCTTCAGCATATTGACCGCCACCGCCGTTGTGTCCTTGCTGATTGGGCTCAGCAGATGATGCTGGCGCACACGCACACGCACACACGCACACACGCACACACGCACACACGCACACGCACACACGCACACGCACACGCACACGCACACGAAACGAGTGCGAGCGAGCGAATGAAAAGAGCGTGAGATCAGTGCACGACCAGACGCAACTGTGTGAGAGAGGAGTCAGACCTTGAATCGGGTGTCGAGCTTGATGATGCTCTTGGCCGTCTGTGTGCTGATGTCGGCCGCCATGAACTTCTTGTAGACGTGCTCGAGCAAATCGCAGAGCGTGTAGATCACCTCGAAATAGTCCAGATTGGAGGGCTGCAGGTGTGGTCCGTATGATCACCAACCGATTACGTGGTCAGGTCAGCGTGTAAGCACCCGGCGGACTACGACGACGAGAGAGCAAGTGAAAGCTGGGAGCAGGTGATGAAAGTGGCGGTGTGTACGATGTTAGGGGTGGTGAGGTATTCGTTGCTGTTGCTCGACCCCGTTGCCGCCGTCCGCACGTCCTTCCCGCTGCTCGATATCAGATCTTTCATTTTCTGTTGATGCGACACAACACCACAAACACAACGACGGCGGAGCGATAGTGTTCGCGCGTTAGCACCCACCACACACACACAGACACACTCCTGCCCAGCGGCTGCTTCGCACATTTCAGGGCGAGGGGCGCAAGTACCCCTTTGGAGTCGAGGGAGCTCTCGAACTCGTTCCAGAACGTCGAGATCGCTTCGACGTACGGCGGCCTACGCTCGCACACGCGCAAAGAATGAAGAAGACAAAAATAAACAAATAAAATTCAAAAGAACGAAAGCGAGCGTTGGCGAGTTACGTACCCGGACTGGAGGGTGAGCACAGAGGCGAGGCTGATGCCCACGTAGAACCACTGCTCCGCCCTAGAATAAAAAAAATAACGTAATAAAAAAATAACGTAATAGAGTGAAATAAAAAAATATTAATCAAAGAACGAAGCGAGTTCGCGGGGGGGTTGAGGATGGTACCTTGCCTGGAGCACTACGTCCTTCTTCTCCTTGGAGTAGAACTGGAAGATGTCCTCCTTGGTGAGAAAGACGGTGTTCATCCAGGGGGCGCTTCCCTGGTACACCCGTTTGATATAATCGAAGTTTTTCAGGCGTTTCGTTACCAACTTCTCCACCGACTCGAAGTGGTCCTCCATCCTTTCGTTGTGGGCCACCTCAACCACAAAATCAAACTTATTTGAATCGCAAAATTAAATCCCTATTTCTCATAATTTCTCATTTTGTTTTGTCAAGGAAAAATAAATAATAAATTAATAAAAGAAAATGAAGCCGACGCACAACAAAGGGTTTGTTGTTGAACAAGAGCGTGTTGATGCTGGTGGTCACTTAATGGCAGCAGGTGCCCTGGGAGTAGAGCTGGCTGAGGACCTCCATCGAAGGGAAATACCAGAAGTTGTTGGCCACGGGGTCGGAGAACTTCATGATGGCATCGTAGGGACCGGGAGGCGTGGCGAAGGTGCCCTGGCCGACCATCGAGGCACACATGGCGTCCAGCCTGTGGGCATCCTGCAAACACAGACCACACCAGTAATCATGAGTCATCGCCCAGCCCAGCTGAACTGAGGCCTCGAGCCAACACAAACCAACGAACCTTGGTGTAGGCAATGAAGAAGAGGCCGGCGTTCTTGCGCACGGCGTCACCCCACGGCATGGCCTGGCGCACTGGAGAACAGCGCGGCGAAGGTCAGAAGGCCCCACTCGCTGTGGTCTGGCGCGTGAGGGGGGGCAGGGCTTGCAAGGGAGGAGTACCGAGGAAGTAGCCGAAGTTGGACTGCCTGACGCGCACCATGTGCGAGGTGAGGGGCGGGTTGGGGAGCTCGTTCGACTCCTTCTTGGTGCGACCGAACACGTCGTTCTGCAAGGTGCCGTTCATCGCAAGGAAAGCCTGCAATCGCCACCACGCCGCGCGCCATTTTAGTTCGTTGCGAACACAATCACTTCGAAACCACACGGGCCGCTCACCTTGAGGTTGTGGACCCAACGCTGGGCGATAGCGAACGAGCCGTTGGTGTGGTACTTGTCCTCGGCGCCGATGAGGCCCTGGGGCACCCTGGGGGGCGAGAGGCGCGGCAAAGTTGAGTTTCTCGGACATAAAAACGATAATACAATAAAAAGGGGTGTGAGGCGAGGGTTGATCGTCGTACTTCTGGTCGGGAGGGCAGTTGACGCTGCCGTCGACGTAGCCCGTCAAGTCACGGTTCTCACCGTCGAGCACGTTCTGCCAGGCCTCAATCACGTCGATGTGGTCCACGATCTGCATTCACACACACACACACACACGTAGACGATGGTTTGCAACAAGACAGCGGGTTGCTTGACGATCCCACGGCCTCAGAGAGCAGAGGCGAAGTAGACAGTCCGTACAGCATCGCCGAGGTAGTCGACGAAGGTGGTCACGAGAGCGTAGAGCACGTCACGGCGCGAAGCCTTCGCGTGAATGAACAGCTCACCGCCGGTGCGGGGCATCACGGGCCAACTAGACACAACCCCACGCCACGCCATGTCGTGTCGTGTCAACAACGCCAGTTTTCATTCTACCAACACTGCAATGGCATGACACCCTTACCCATCGGGACCAGTGTAGCCGGGGAAGTCGAAGAGACCCTTGGGCATGGGCAGGAACTGACCCCAGCGCTGCCCTGTAAATGAGTTCGCACGACGACGACGACGACAAAAGAGAAGTGGGTCAGCGATGACCACACACGACGCGTCGTACAAGCACGCGTGGTAGGCAACGACCATGAGGAATGAATGGAATGCGCCCCGCAAATGAAAGAAGAAAGTGAAAAAAGAACGAACGCGAAGAGAAAGCCGCGGGGGGGGGAGGGCTCATACAGGTGTAGGCGGAGAAGGCGATGCCTCCGACGAGGCCGGTGCCGTTGACCTGGCTGTTGATGCTCAGCACGATCTCGGGGAACTGGGCCGCGATCTGCTGCGCGTACTGGGCCATGCTGGCGTTCACCCAAACCTCGGGCCTCAAGTAAACTAAACATCAAAGAAAATGTGGAAGATGAAGATGAAGATGGAGGTGAAACGAAGAGCGTTAGAAAACTGATTTCGAGGGACCCGGAAGATGAAGAAGAAGAAAGGAAGGGCGTGAGCGGGGGAGGACGACGAACTGGTGGCGCCGACGGCCTGGTGGTTGAGTCCGGTGAGGACGTTGGGCTGGGGGTGGTACTGCTGGCTCTGGGCCGAGCAGACACCGAACAGCACGGCCGCGACGACGACGGCCAACAAATAACTACACCGGAGGGAGGAGACCATTGTATAGATTCGTTACCGTCTGCTGTGATGTGTGAACCGGACGAGACAAACGACAAACTAAAACGTCTCGGCCGTAAGCCGGAGAGAAAAGGATCGGAGGACGCCAGCCACACGGAAACTTCTGATCCGGCCTCATCTGCTCCTGCAGCTAAAACCGGTCCGACCAATCACACGGCGACGCTTTATAAAATAGTCTCAGGTATTTCAAGTATTCAACAAGAGAAAAGACAAAAATTATTGTTTGTGGTGAAGATGGACAAAGGGAAGGAGCTGGTGGGCGAGGATGGTGGGTACGCGAGCCAGACTGGGAGCGAGGCGGAGGAGGAAGAGGAAGAGGAGGTGGTGGTGCAGCCGCAGGTCACCGTGGAGGGAACCACGGGCGTGAAGAGGTGGGTGGTGGACCTGGACCTACCCCCCGAGGAGCGCTGGAGTGAGGTGGTGGCCTTCCACGCTCCCGACCTCCTCGCCGTCGCCCAGCACATCCGCTCTGAGCTGGCTCGGGTGCGCCCCTCTCTTTATTCTTGAGTTTTGGCTTTTTTTATGGTATAATAATTTTTAATAAAAATAAAAATAAAAATAAAAAACAAGAACAAACAAAGCTCTGATACCAGCGAAATGATGAGCAGATGGTGGGGAAGAAGAAGGCGACGTTCGGCGAGAAGGTGGTGGGCGCCTTCCTGGCCGGCGCGGCGCACGCTGGGGTGGTCTTCTACGGCCGGGAGCTGGCCGGAATCGCCAAGGCCTCCGGTACGTGCCTCCCCGCTCCCAACACTGCTCTGGGCCGCGCCCACTGACCGACGGCCGTTGGTCTGGGCCTGCAGGGTTGCCGTTGGGTCAGCTGGTGCTGTTGCAGCTCGTGTACGAGGCGTCGGCTGCCTGCACGTCCATCGTCGTGCCGCAAGACCCGACCCAGGTGGTCCCTAAACTCTCGATGAACGCACGGCAGGCCATGTCAATGATGGTAACACGTGCGGTATGTGTGTGTGTGTGTGTGTGTGTGCGTGTGCGTGTGCGGTGTGTGCAGGACTCGACGCCGCAGCACATCCGCACGATGGACTGGGGCATGGAGTTCCTGAAGCCGCTCACCATCGAAGTCGACTTTGTCAAGGGCGGCCGCTCCCAGTACGTGGCCACCACCTGGGTCGGCTATGTGGGCGTCCTCACCGGTATGCACACCTACCATCGCCACCGCTTTCGCTTCTCTCGCGATTCGCCGCCGCTGGGCTGATGCGTGCGACCAGGCATGCGCCCGTTCGGCTACTCGGTCTCGGTCAACTTCCGTGTCACGAGCGGCGCCTACTGGAAGAATGTCAAGAAGGCAATCCTGCGGGCGTGGCCCATCGGTACACACTTGCGCTCGCCTTTTGCCTTTCTTTTTCTTTTTCTTCCCTCGCGTCTGCTGGCTGACAGCACTGCGTGCGCCGCGAGACAGGGTTTCTGGGGCGGTAGGTCCTGTGGAAGCTGATGTCCACGACCCCGATTCTGAACGAGCTCACCCTGTCGGGCACCTACATGCTGCCAGCCAAAGGTGCGCACGCCACCGCATGCGCGCACGGCGACGATGACATGATGATGTTTAACTCTTCTTCTCCACGCGGACGCTCGTACAGGAATCTTGCGCACCCGATTGCCGCAGAGCAATCATTGTGGGTTCACGCCCACACGCAGACCTCTCCCGCAAGGCGGGGAGGAGCGGGTTCCATGCTGCAAATGTACGCTGCAGCCATTATCAACTATTGTAGCCTGTTCTCTCGCTCACACACGACACGACACGACACGACCAACGACACGACACGACCAACGACACGACACGACCAACGACACGACACGACACGACACGACCAACGACACGACACGACCAACGACACGACACGACGCACAACAACAGGCGGGACCAGGTTCCTCTTCTCGCTCAACCCGACCGAAGATTGCGCCCATGTGGGCGAATGGCACAGCTCCTTCGAAGACTGTAGCTACATCAAGGTGCTGGCTCGATCCTTCTTTAGAATCGTCTTCTCTTCCCCACCACTCTCTCGGTCTCACTGTTCCTGTTCGTTCAGTGCGGCCTCGGGTTGAAGACGTCGATCGGCCTCAAGGTACCAAATGTCTCGCCGGCCCTGCTTTTGCTGATTCTCAAGACTCGTGTAATTCTCACGCACACTTGTGTTTCGCACAGCACTGGTCGTGTTGCTTTGCGACGTCGCACGACTCCAAGTGCCCAAAAAGTGGAACGCACGACGCCGACGCCAAGCTGGCGTCGGCCTAGTCTCTGACCTATTCGCCCCCAGACTGGGTGGAAGGAAGCCCACACAACGCCGCCGGCGCTGGGCCATATGTGCTCACTTCCTTTAACATATCTGATTTGTATTATTCAATACACGGGCCTAGGCGT